TCCTCCACCTCCTCCTCCTCCTCCTCCTCCTCCTCCTCCTCCTCCTCCTCCTCCTCCTCCTCCTCCTCCTCCTCCTCATCTTGGTACCTGCCATCCTCAAAATCCCTCCTTGTTGTTCTTCTTCTTCTTCTTCCTCCTCCTCCTCCTCCTCCTCCTCCTCCTCTAATCCCTCCTCCTCGTCCTCGTCCTCCTCGTCCTCCTCCTCCTCCATTCCCCCCCCGTCACAGGATCCGCCCTCGCCCCCCCCCTGCCTGCCCCCACCGCTGCCCATGGTGCCCCGCGAGCGCCTGGGTCGCGCGATGTTGGCCCCACTGCTGGCCAGGAGCGCGTCCACTGCCTGCGCCTCATCCTCATCCACGTCCCCCTCCTCCTCCCCCGGACCCCCCCCCGCCTCATGATGCCCGCCACTCGACCGCGCAGGCTGGAGGACCGGGAGCGCATCCCGTACGGAAGATGCGCCCTGTTCCTCCCTCCTCCGCCCCCTCCCTCCTCCTCCTCCTTCTGCTCGGCTGCCAGCATCTCCGCCTCCTCCTCTGCCTCCTCTTCGGCCAGGCGCCGCCGCTTCTCCTCCTCTTCCTGCTCTTCCTCGTCCTCCTCGCCAGAGCCCACCGCCAGCTCCCCGGCCTCGTTGAGCATGGCGGGCAGATCCAGAGCCTTCAAAGCCCCCGCCGGCAGCAGCAAGTCCTCTCCCTCCGGGAGCGCAATGTTGGCAATTTTGCACTCGACGCGGTGGCGCAGGCGGAGCTGATGCATGTCGCCCTCGACCGAGGCCAGCTGCCCCCTCAACTTGCCGAGCACGGATCCCGCGGCGTCCTGGGCCACCCAACGCGAGATCTCCTCCGTCTGCAGCCGCTGCCGCCGCGCTCGTGTCTCCAGCCTCGCCACCTCCGCCTTCAGCCTGCTCCACTCGAGCCGCCGCTCCTCCCAGGACCGCAGCCCTTCCGAGAAGACACGCTCCCGCAAGTCCCGCACTCGCTCGGCCACCGAGGGCCCCTCAACGGTTTTTGGCGCCCCGCCCAGGAAGCAGAGGGCAAGGGCGTGGTCGGGCAGGTCGACGACGGGGGAGAGGAGGAGAGGGATCTCGGGCGGCACCGCCCCTCGCGGCGCTGTCGTGAAGAGAAAGGATCGGATCGGGGCGTTGGCCTCCGCGCGCCGTTTCTGCCGGTGGCTCCCCCCTAGCCCCAGAACGCCCCCGTACAAGCTCGGCTCCGCATCCTCCTCCTCACGGCCGTCCCGGCGGAGGAGCTGGTCCAGACCCGAAGCCTGGTAGAGCGCCTCAAGTGTCTCCCGCGTCTCCCGCGCCGCGGCCCTCTCCGCCTCGCCCATGCGCTCCTCCAGAGCCTCCCAGGCCCTCAACAGGTCCCTGTCCACGATCGCCGCCCCCCTCCTTCCTTCCCCCCTCCCGCGGGCCGGCTTCACGTAGCCGGGCGGGGCCACGCGCTTCCGCCTCACCTCCTCCAGCTTGAAGGTCTCCAAACCCGTCTCCGACTTGACCACCACGTTGCCGCGCCGTATGCCCTCTACCACGCCCTCCGCTCCCTCTGGCGTCACAACCACCTCGCTTGCCTCCAGTGGCTCGTCCTTAAATTTCAAGACCGGTTCTTCCTCCTCCTC